AAATACCCCCAACCATCAAAGACCACCGTCGGCCGCTAGCCACCACCATTGGCTGCCAGTGAAATTCGTCCTATTGGCACAAGACCGATAGGATCTTGCCGGTCGTGTCCCGATAAGGACGTTTTCGGCCATGGATTTGTGATCCATGGCCGGAAACGACCAGATCTAGTCGTTTCACAGTCAAAGATGTGGCCGTGAAACGCCACAAATCTGGCCTTGAAAAGGCCAGATCTTTAGCCGTGAAATGGTCGCCGTTTCACGGCCAGATTAGGCCTTATCGGCGTATGACCAACCAGATCCGGCTGGTAGTGCTTCATTACGGCAACTTCCGATGGTGGTGGTGGCTGCCGGCGGTGGCTTGGGGTGATGGGGGTGATTTTGTTATAAATTAAAGTTGTATATGGTTGGGGTGTTTTAGTAAAATTTCAAATATAGGGGGGTTAAAGAAATAATTTAAAAAATAATAGAATAAAATAATAATAAAAATAATATTATATTATTATTTAAAAATGAGGGCAATTTAGTAATCTATATAATATACCCACTCATTTATCCTCCTAACCAAACATATTATTATAACATACCCATCAATTTATTCCAACCCACCAAACACATTTCTCTAAAGATTTCCTAGTAATCTATCTTTCTAGTAATACAACATTTCTCAATAATATAACATTTTCTGAACCAAATGCACCCTTAATAGTTAATTCTTGAACTACACCAATGAACTGTTTGGTAAATTTTTTTGAAAATCCCATTATCCAACCAAATTACTGTACAATCTGAACCATATAGGGCCGGAGGTGATGTTGGCGTACACCTTTTACCAGCGATGGTTGATGGTATAATCTTTGGTTGCTTCATTTTTTGTTGGTAAAGGAAAAGATAAATGTCGGTTCTCTCTTTGTTTTGAACTGCAAAAATTGGATCTCTCTTTTTTCAGCTGGTGCGACGGGGAATCTCAAGGGGCGAGCTCTAAGTTATTGATTTTGAAGGAATCATATTTAATTTTAGGGTTCAAAAATTTTTGTTAGATCGAATGATTTATTTAAGTTATTAATTCACTATTGGGTTTGAGTTGAGAATATGAATCCGTGTAATATTATGTTTATCTTTTAAACCTAGTATATAAACATGCTTTTCTTTTGTATGACAGTGATAGCAAATTACTTTTGGGGGGCATTTGGTAGGGGGTTATGAGATTACTGAGATAATGTCATCTTATATTACTTGATTACCATGTTTGGTTGTCAAGTAATAAACATGGTAATCAAGTAATATAAGATTTCGGTAATCTTTTAATACCAATAGTCGTTACTATTGGTAATATTGGAGGTAATTAATCTGATAACCTCCATTTTCTTAGGTATTGTAAGATTACTTGGTTATCTTATTTTTGTTACAGTTTTATCCCTTATTAATAAAATTGTTGGACAACAATGCCCTTGTTTTAAAATCAATTTACATTAATCCACCATTACAATTTTACCCTTGTTTAATTAAGTTTTTGGACAATAATGCCCTTATATTTAAAACAAATTGCAGACCACCACCGCCATCTAGCCACCACCACCACCAACAGCTAGTCAACCATCGCCGGTTGCGGTCGAAAGTTGTCAGGAGGCTTCGATATGGCCGTTTCTAGTCATATTGATGGTCGAAAACAGCCAAAATGGAGTAGATCTGGCTGAAAATGGCCCGAACTAACGACCATATCATAGCCTCCCGGCGACTCTCGGGCACTCCCGATGATTTCCAGCGACTTTCGGCGGCGGATGGCGGTGGCTTGGGGTGGTTGGGGAGATTTTGTTATTAATTAAAGTTTTATATAAGCTGGGGTGTTTTGGCTAAATCTGAAATATTGGGGGTTAATAGAAATTATTCAAAATTTAATAATAAAAATAATATTATATTAATATTTAAAAGAGGGCAATTTAGTAATTTAAATAACATACCTACCAATTTATTCCTCTCAACCAAACATATTAATATAACATATCCATCAATTTATTCTAACTAACCAAATACATCTTCCTAAAGATTTCCAATAATCTTCAAGGTAATCTAACTTTCCATTAATATAATATTCCCAGTAATCAAGCATTCTCTGAACCAAATGCACTCTCATTGTAATGAGAGAGGTGAGACAATATTGTAATAATATTGATTCTGTTGAAGGTAACCTGTTAATTGGGTGAATCAGGGTAAATCGCTTATTTTCTTTCTCTTTACTGTTTGTGGTTTGTGAGTGTTTTCTGTCTTGATTTAATATTACTCTATACTGTTTCAAATAATTGGTTCAAAATATAAATATGATTTATTGTTTTAGGTAAATTTGACTAATAAGAAAGAGAGTACTGATTATTGACAGTGTGGATATGATATCTCATTTGCGAGAACACATATTACATCACATCTTGTCATTCCTCTACTTCAAACAAGCTGCTCAAACTTGTGTTCCGTCCAAACCATGGGAAAAAGCATGAAACACATACCCCTATTTGAGGTTTGGTTCCAAATTCTTTGACCAAGATACATTGGATTTTTCGATTTTGCAGTGTGATCCCACTTTATTTGAACTGAATTAAAATTTATGTTTGATCCCCCTTTATTTGTACCGAATTTAGTTTTTGATTGATCCTTGTTAAATGGATATCTATTAATAGGTTAAAAGCCTTGAAGAGAAGAAATATACTTTTACAATTATACTTATTAAATTATGTGAAGGAAAGTCTGCAAAAATGAGATGGTAACTATAGAGGATTTTGTACTTAAATTTAGGATTATATTAGAATTATTCTCATCAATCATGGATCATTGCATTGGCTATGTATTAGGATGTCATTTCAAAAGAATGCAAATTTTGACAAGGTTCCATTAGAGTCCTGATGAAAGTATGTACATTGTTGTCAGAGTTTGAAGATGAAGGCAAGAGAGGCACACTATGCTGCCTGAGTATGCCAAAAAGAAGACAATGACCATAACGGTTTTCTGTATTTTTCTATTGTATATTTTGTGTCTGTTTAGTGCTTAATTTATATAGGGTTGGAAGAGTTAATCAAGGAAATACAATCAGTGCTTAAAGCCCGTAATCACACTAAATTAGGAATGTAATATTTGTTATTCAAAGTGAACATCAACATACTAAAATGTCTTCATCACTTCCCCTCAAGCTTATGGTTTGTATATGTCGTAAACTACAAGTTTGCTCACAAGTTATAAATGTTGTCTACCACATAATTGTTTTGTAAAAATGTCTGTGGGCTGTTCTATAGTACAAATGTGCATGGCTTTGATTATACCCTCTCGAACTTTTTCTCCAAGTGACAATTGATCTCTATGTTCTTAGTTCTTTTAGGGAAAACTGGATTTGCTACAATATCATTTGCAGTTTTATTGTCATAGTATAGGTTGATTGGCTCTTTTATTTTAACTTCCAGAGCCCTTAGAAGTCCAAGGTCCATGTGATTTCACATGTGGTTTTGGCCATGCGTGGCTTTATACTATGCTTTTGCTAATGAAAGAGAAAGTGTCAACTGCTTTTTTGTTTTCCAAGAGAAGAGCAATCCTCCAAGCTTGATGCAAAACTCGGCGAGTGATTTTCTTGTCATAGAGCATGTGCCCAATCTGAATCACAATAAGCTATTAAATCAAGATTCCTATCTCAGAGGTTGGAGAAGTCTTACCCTAGGGCATCCTTTCAAGTACTTTAGAACCTTTAATGTTGCATCCATGTGAGATTGTTTTGGTTGATGCATAAATGGCTGAGCATGTGAATTGCATAGCTAATATTTGACCATGTCATCGTAAGATAAATTAGACGACCCATGAGCCTTTGGTAATGTGAAGGGTCTTTAAGAGTTGGATCAACCTTTGAATATGATACTTCATTATCGTATTCTTGAAAAGTCAGCTTGGAATTTTGTTCAACAGGAATAGCACTAGGTTTATAGGCTGATAAGCCAAAGTCTAATATGAGCTCTAAGACGTACTTGCGTTGATTGAGAGAAATACTAGCCGGAGATTTTGCAATTTCAATCTCCAACAAATATTTAGGCTCTCTTAGACCTTTGTTCTATAAATGCTTATTGAGATGCTATTTTAGGGCTTTTATTGCCGCCTCGACAAAATTCTTAAAAGTACACGCCATTAATAGACGGGCGTTGAAGTTGTCTCACAAAACCTAAGATGTTTCGACTTTAGAATTAGATTCCTCAGGTCCACTTTAAAAATTGAGACTCACACCTAAGCTGTATTTGTTTTTATTATTTGGAGCAATATTTTTAAAAAAGTAGAGTTGTGTTGTTTTTATGAGGTAAGATTTAAAAATTATAAAAATACCCCTTAGGTTTGTTAATTTAGTTAAACACCCTCAATTAATAAAAAATTTGTAAATTGATAAAAACATCCCCACCTACTTATATTTGCTAGATTCTAGCCATCACCGTCGGAAGGTGGCCGAAATCTGGCGTAATCGTGCATGATCGACTAGATTTGGTTGGTCGGCCAGAAAAGGCTAGAGTTACGGCCCGATTTGGCTGTCAACGACCAGATGTGGCCAAAGATCTGGCCGTCAACGATTAGATTTTTGACCGTAGATTTGGCTTTTTTGGCCTGATCTACAGTAGATTTGGTCAGAAAATGTCAAATCGATACACTATTAATCAGATTCAACTAGTAGTGCGTCATTACGCCAAATTCTGGCTAACTTTTGATAGTAGTGGTTAAAATCTAACAAATATAGGTAGATGGGGGTGTTTTTATTAATTTATAAATATTTTTTATTAAGATGTTTAGTTAAATTAATAAACCTACGAGGGTTTAAAAATAATTAATATAGTGGGTTGGATTTTGAGAATACGAAAATGCATTTTGTTTATGATAGGAGTAAGATCGGAAAAAAAGGTGAAACAAACAAGCCTAAAAGTCTTATCATCATCCAACGGCATGAACGTGTACACGTGTACTGAAAAGTCTCTTCCTCTATATACCAACTCTTAAGCTGCTGCCGTCCCATCACGATTGCTAAATCCCGCTCCCTGAAGCATTTATGTAACAATCAAGATCCAGCTGCTTCACGATGGCCATATTTAATCATTATGGAAATACGATGTGTTCTTGAGTTTCAGAGGTGAAGAGACTCGGAAGAATTTCACCGACCATCTGCGCGCCGCGCTGGATCAAAAGGGCCTTAGAATATTTAGGGATCATGAAAGTATTGAGAGAGGGAAGGAAATTTCGTCTGAGCCACTGAAAGCAATTGAAGATTCCATGATTTAGATCATAATTTTTTCAAGAAATTACGCCTCATCGACTTGGTGTTTGGATGAACTTGTAAAGATTGTTGATTGCTTAGACGTGGATAAGCATCGCGCAGTTGTGCCAGTTTTTTACGACATAAATCCATCAGATGTACGGAGACAAACGGGAGATTTCAAGAAAGCTTTTGATAAACATGAAGAAGATTTTAGAGACGATGAGGAGAAGGTGCAAAAGTGGAGAAGTGCTCTGATAAAGGTAGCCAGTTTGTCTGGATGGCATTTGAAGGATAGGTACGTGTTTTTCTTTGAAGGACAGATATGTAATTTTATCCTTTTAAGCTGATTTAGACACGGGGTAAGGTGGTTGAGGAACAGTTTTTTTTTTTTTTTTCCCTCGTTCTTTAATCAGTCTCATAGTCTAAGACAACCATATAAGAAGACAGAGAAAGTGACAAATTAAACCACGCTATAAAATTTTCAAGATTGATTGCTTTTATTATTTGCAACAAAAGTTATTATAATATTTTTCATTGCGTTAATGAGTTATTTTGGGTTGGAATTGCAAGTGAAATCTAACTTTTCAAAAGTTTTATATACCCTCGTTCATTCACTTTGTATCAGTGTGGAAGAGTTTGCAAATAGTGTTAGTATGTTTAGCATTATTCAATATTCATATGATGTATATTCGTAGAAGATGGGTATAGACCACTTTATTGGGTGCAAATAACCTCACTCCTAAACAAATATACAATGCATATTATTATTGTTATCTCATTTCAATATAATTTATTGTCAAAATAGTGGGTGAGTGTTGAAAATGTGATGAAATATAAATTAAGCATGATACCATTTTGGTAACATACTAAATTTGGACTGGTAAATGCTATCATATTAGTTTTTAGCTGCTAGAGAACTTTTTGTGGGGTTCCTACCATGGTTATTAAGACTTCCCTAACAGTAATAGATATGGGAATTTTATTTGAAAGAATTGTAATGGTTTTTGGAGCAAAATCATAATGATACATTGTAATAAAGTGCATTAGCTAATTTTTATTTAATGCTTATAAGATTATATAATTGAGATTGAATGTTAGTTCATATATGTGATGTTTATTGAAAAGCATTCTAGTAAAGTTTTCGGTCTAATAATGTGGTATGACCCATAAACAGAGCTGTTAGAATTTAAATAGATAACAAAACTATTAATTCCTTTTTCTTCAATGCTGTATTAAATTTGAACTGATGATTACTATTTGAAGCACCAAAAGGCTCATATAAAATGTAATCAACTGAGGGAACACGGGTGTTCTAGCATCATATAAATGCAAAATGCAACTGATAGCTTGAAGGATTCAGTTACTATTACGAAGTGTTTGGAGTTGAGAATTAATTCTTGACTTAACTACTCGCATTGACGCCATATCAAAAATTCTGTGTCTAATTACTGGATTCAACATATATGATTTGTTATTAATTTGTTTCTATCCCCATTGTTTTCTGTCATTTTAATACTAGATTTTTCTTCTTTTTCAATCTGTAGGCATGAGTCGGAATTTATTCAGGATATTGTCAAGAACATATTGAGAATACTTTACGGTCTATGATGCTTGAGGACATTGTAGGAATAAATTCTCGCCTGGAGAACCTGATGAAGCTTATAAGGCGTACGCCTGATGATGTTTGCATGATAAGAATCTTTGGAATGGGAGGGGTGGGCAAGACAACGATTGCAATAGTTGTTTATGAGTTGCTTTCTTATGAATTTGAAGGTCATAGTTTTCTTGCGAATGTTAGAGAAATTTCTGAAAAAAGTGGTTTGGCTTCTTTACAAAAGCAACTTCTTTCCCAAATTCTAATGGAAACTTATTATAACATAAATGATCTATATGATGGAATAAGTGTAATAAGAAGTAGGCTACAACATAGGAAGGTTCTTGTCATCATCGATGATGTTGATAATGTAAATCAACTGAACACATTAGCTGGAAAACATCATTGGTTTGGTTCGGGCAGTAGGATCATAATAACAACAAGAGACAAACATTTGTTGTTGACACATGGAGCGGATGAGTTATACAAAGTTGAGGAACTAAATGATGATGATGCACTTAAACTCTTTTGTTTGAAGGCCTTTAAGAGTTGTCGTCCTCCGAAAGACTATGTGGAAGTTTCCAAGCGTATTGTGAAATATGCTGGTGGTCTTCCATTAGCTCTCCAAGTTTTGGGTTCTCCTTTGTTTGCTAGAACTATAGATGAATGGAAATATGCACTAGAAAGATTAACTAAAGATTTTGAAAAAGAAGTTCTAGATGTACTTCAAATAAGTTTTGATGGGTTGAAAGAAACAGAAAAGAAAATATTTCTTGATATTGCATGTTTCTTTAATGGGGAACATATAGATTATGTTACACAAATTTTGGATGGCTGTGGTTTTTACCCAAGTAGTGGAATACGTGATCTTGTTGATAAATGTCTACTACCTATTTTAGACAACAAAAAATTGTGGGTGCATGATCTATTACAAGAAATGGGTAAACAAATTGTTAAGAGACAATCGATTGAGAAGCCTGGAAAGCGGAGCAGATTCTGGGAGGAATGAGATATCTATTATGTATTGACCAAAAACATGGTAAGTTATTCTGTAGGAAAGTGCAATTTTAGTTCATAATCTCTTTTAACCATTTAAACCTCTACACAATTCTTCAACTCCTTATATTAAAGTTATTAAATAATTGTTTGGTTCTATTTTTTTGAGGGAAGTGACGTTGTTGAAGGCATAAAATTGGACTATCCTAAAGAAGAGTTGCATTTGAGTGCTAAAGCATTTTCAAAGTTGATCAATCAAAGATTGCTAAAAGTCAGCAATGTTCAACTTCCCGAAGGTCTCAAGTATCTTTCTAATGAGTTACGGTTACTCGAATGGCATGGATATCCTTTAAAATCCTTGCCGTCAAATTTGCAAATGGATAGAATTGTTGAACTTAAAATGCGTTCTAGCAGCATTGAACAACTAAGGCAGGGAATGAAGGTAAGATTTCTATTTCAAATTTATAGTTTACTGATAACATTATGCACACATCCCTTGAGTAATGTGGTAAATTAATTGTAGGATTTTTTTTTTCTTTTTTGTTTGATTTTCATAGCCTTTACACCAGTTAAAATCCATCAATCTAAGTCTCTCCCAGAAGTTGAACAAGACACCAGATTTCACAGGGGTCCCAAATCTAGAGTATCTAATTCTTGAAGGATGCATAAAGTTGCGAGAGATTCACCCATTTGTGGTAGTCCACAAAAAGCTTATTCTGTTGAATCTGAAGGATTGCAAAAGTCTTACCACTCTTTCAAGTAAAATTAATATTGCATCTCTTAGAAAACTAAATACTTTCTGGTTGCTCAAAATTAAAAGAGTTTCCACAGAATGTTGGAAGTATGGAATGTCTGTCAGAGCTGTTTTTAGATGGAACTGTGATTAAAGAACTGTCGTCCTCAGTTAAACGTTTGACTGGTCTTGTTTTGCTGAATTTGAAAGATTGCAGTCAGCTTGAGAGTCTTCCAAGTGATCTAAATTATTTAAAAACTCTTAGATCTCTCAATCTCTCTGGTTGTTCTAAACTTGAAACTTTGCCAGAGAATTTGGGACAAGTAGAAAGTTTGGAAGAGCTTGATGTGAGTGGAACTGCTATAACGCAACCAGTGTCATCTATTTTTTTTAATAAAATCTTAGAGCTTATCTTTTCGTGGATGCAAAGGATCAGCACCTAAATCTTGGCATTTGCGTTTATCCTCCAAGTTGATGCCAAGAAGTTATAAACATACCATGACTTTGATGTTGCCTTCTTTCTTGGGTTTTGTGCTCTTTAACAAAATTGGATCTTAGTGACTGTAATTTGGGGAAGGTTCAATCCCCAATGATTTTGGCAAATTGTTTTCATTAGATATTGTTTTCAGTAGAGGAGTTAAATCTAAGTAAAAACAATTTTGTTTTTCTACCAACAAGTATCAACCGTCTTTCTAAGCTTCAATGTCTTAAGTTGGAGGGTAGCAAGAGACTTCAATCTCTGCCGGAACTTCCACCCAATATTAATACGATTAGACTTGATGCTTGTCCTTCACTTGAAACATTATCAAATGGATTAGAATTTCGCAATTCGGAGTTTGCGGTGATTTCTTGCATGAATTGTTTAAAACTATCTGATTGCTGCAGCATGGGATTGTTAATGTTGAACCGATACCTTAAGGTTGCTCTCTCTCTCACTCTCTCTGTCTCTCTCACACACACATTATACATTATTCGACAATATGACCTTTTTATTTTTTTATTTATTTTTTTTTTTTGTAGGCAATGTCAAATCCAAGAATGGAGTTTAGCATTGTTGTTCCTGGAAATGAAGTTCCTGAATGGGTTAAGCATAAGAGTGAGGATTCTTCGATTAGAATAACAAGGCCTTCACATGGGTATCCTAGAAAACTGGTGGGATATGTTGTGTGCTCTGTTTTTGTTGTTCATAAGCATCAACCTGCCCTTAGCGATGCTTTTGGCAGACATAATCTTTTCTTCCATTTGAAAGCTGATGAAAAACCTTCTTCTACATCTCATTTTATTTATTTCGAAGATAAGTTCGGCGAGGCTGTGTCGGGCCATCTGTGGTTACTCTATTTGTCTTGTCATGAATACTTTGATTTAGAGTGGCATAATGAATATAAACACATTGAGTTTTTATTTTCATCTCATTGGGGGGCTGGATTGGAGGTGAAGAGGTGTGGGGTCTGTCCAATATATGAACAAGAATTGAAAGAGTTATGCCAAACACTGAACCAATATAGTAGCTCTGCTTTTGAGGATTTGAATGAGTATTTTGTAGGATTGAACTACAACTAAGCGAAGTCTAGGTGACCATGGTAGGGCAAAACCTAGTGGAAATGGCTATTATGATGAGGAACCCCTTACCACAAGATAAAGAACTTAAATTCTCTTGAAAGGGCAAAGTGTATTTTGGTGTTGGAAGCCCAAATTTTTAGAATGCTCAGAAGAACAAATATATATAGACAAACAAATTGTGGCTATACTTTTAAACGTTGAGGAAGTGCAAGCTGCTACAACATCTTTCTTAAAAGTTCTCTCAGCTTCTCCTTCAGCCTATTCTGCAAATCAAAAGTCTCAGTTTTCCAGGTATGTTGAAACTCAACACTTTCTGTTATTGTTACTTTTTGTATTTTATTGACAGCTTTACATGCTTTTATGGTATAGGAACGGTAGGATGGAAGGAATGTTTTTATTTTTGAGAGGAAACATGTCAGTATCATTGATTTAAAAATTACAAAAAGAGTAAACAAGCCGTTTACTTAAAAAAGAATCATAATTAGATCTATGCAGTAAGGTATAAAAAAGAATGTGATTGTTATGTGTCAAAAATTGCATATGCATTAACTTCAAAAGTTTTTAATCATACTAAATTGTGTTGAGGATGGTAAAAGAAAGAAAGAAATGTTAGCATATGATTAAATAATTGCATGGTTACATGCAAGGCACAAAATGTGTGATAAACCACTCTCGCTTTAGCATGAAAAGGTTATCTCTTAGAAAAGGACAAACAACTGCATTCTTCCTTGTGGTTAATGAAGTTATATACATTTGTGACTCTTCGTGAAAAGATAACATGATTGTTCATACTATACATAAGTCAATGGACAGTTATGAACATTCATTCTAATATTCTCCAAGTACACTACATATCTTGAAATTGTTTGTGAAAATTCAGTGTTCAGGGTCCTCGCCTGTCACCACCAGCCTTACAGCGGTGTCAAGTTATTTTTAAGAAAAAGAGGTACTACTATTTTAGTTTAGCCTCGTGGTTAGCTGCGGATTATACAATGTATATATATTCTAGATGTTGGCCCAACTATTTTGTATTTCTGACCAAGACTAAATGATTGGTATTGAATTCAATATGGACATGAATTTGTCTTTAAAAGGTATCTATAGGGTAGTTATTATGGGTGCATAAGGTATCTTTAAATTTTTGAAAAATTTAAATGAGTTTCTAATAATTTCTGAAGCATTTTGTATCTTGAAGGGCTGTAATAATATCCCTTAAAAAATATTGGCAAATTTAAATACTAAAAGATTAGAACTTGAATCATAATAACTTTTCTTTTTAGCTAGTTATGAAAGGGTTGGGCAGTAAGACTTATCTTATTTTTTATTGCATAATAATTTGATGGCCATCCTCGTCTCGTCTAATCTTGGTAGGTGCAGATAACCAGACTCCTTTAAACCTGTCTGAATATTGAATAAAATTTGGTATAGAGCAATAGATGCTACTGTCTCCCTCCTGCCCATGGCGTGTATTCCTTTTCTTTGCATTTTAATCTCCCTCACTGTATTATTGGTCCTAAGTTTCTACGCAATTCCTATATTGCCATGTAAACCTCTGTATGCCACCCAATCTTCTCCAACCTGTTTGAAAATTGTAGTAACCCTAATACATTGCTTCTTCCCCTCTTTTCATGATATAGTCGCTTAAATAAATCCATGTTGTGTATTTCTAGCATACAGCCTTGCTTCCTGCAGGTTAGCCAGTTTCTATAGTCATGTGATGGATTTCAATTCATACACCACAACTATCTTATAGCTTCTTCAAAGTGCCCTTTTTTCATAGGTTCAGTGGTAACCCACTGATTCTAATCCATCCACCTTCACACTTTTATTCTTTCTATTCTGGCATTAACATGGACCATAGCTTAGCTGAACATGAAATTTGTCATTTAAAAGCAATTAGATATTTCTTCAAAGTCTCTTTTACTCTCACTTTTTCTGTATGAAGACTACAATATGAGAAACTTGTGTTGAATTCTCTTGTATCTCACACAGAAGAATGTAAAAAAAAAAAAAAAAGAAAGAATTCCTCTAAATCACCATTGAAACCTAGATTAGTTTAGTTTTATCTTTCTTTAAATCACCATTGAAACCTAGATTAGTTTAGTTTTATCTTTGATGATTATATTCTCCTAAGATAGTTATATAAAAAAAAAGAACAGAAAGAATTCCTCTAAATCACCACTGAAACCTAGATTAGTTTTGTTTTATCTTTGATGACAATATTCTCCTAACATAGTTTATATACAATTAATACGAGTTATCCATCTTGCCTGTGCAATGCCAAAGTTTCCTTCTACAAAGTGAAGAGTTCACTTGTAGGATGTAGTTATGAGTGACCATTAAATCAAGAACCCACTCCATACTTGGATTTGTAACACCACTTCACCATCAAACAGAGTAGCTATATGTTCCTGTCATCTCTTATTTCATGATTCTTTTATTGTCTAAATCTTGTATCAATAGCTTGTAACCCTTTTCTTATAGTCCAGTTTACTTTATCTTTGGGCTTCACATTCTTCAAGCCCTTGCCTTTACTCATATATTTTGTTCCTTGTGAAGAGCTTTTGTATCTCTATAACAGCATTGTTTTTATTTATTTATTTTTATCTTAGTTTCTCTATTCATAAACAAGTTTCTTGCTGACATCAGAAGAATTTGCAAATCATTAACAAAAAGACTAAGAAGGAAGGCGTTTGAGGAGGATTGGGCTGGTCAAATTTAGACAGAGGTATAGGAGTAGGATCATACAAGAGAAAATGGTAATCTATTGTGTAATTTTAGTTATTTTATGATAATAAAAGTAGCTTAGGTAGGTGTTTCAGTGACACTGTAGTTGGTTGGCTAATTTGCCAAGTCAGTTCTTAAAACTATTGTTAATATAGTATTTAAATAGATTTGTAGTCTTGACCAAATGTAGGTCTGCATTTTAGTTAAGTTCCAGTCACTCAGATAGGAGAAAGCCAATATATATATGAACATCACGCTCAATTATACAAAATTAGATCTAACTTAAATACAATCACTTGTCCTGTTAAACACTTATATTTTACAAGCAGAGAAATACAACAACCAGACTTTAACTCTACAGCCTTCTGATATGAAGCCAAATAAAGGAACACAAACTCAACTATTGCAGAACACATAAAAATAAAAGGCCACCTGAGCATAACTTTAATTCTAGAAGTCATGTTATTGAAAAGCATTTGGCGGCATGTTGCTGGTCGACATCTAGGATATTACACTTTATTTATCGTATCTTTACCAAATAGTCGCATCCTTTTGTATGCTTGGATTTTGAATATCGTCACATCAGCCTCATTTGTTTCCTTTGAGAAAGTTATTATATCACCTTTCTTTAGATACTTGGTGCAGACATATGCACACCAGCCTTTTGCATTAAGAACCGGTTTTAAGTGTGGACCCTCTGTTCGGGTTGAGAGACGAAAAGGCCATGAATGCCCTTTATAGTCTAGGGCCTCAAAATTTGTTGAGTGATTCCCCCAGGATTCAGAACGAAGTGCCCTACACTTTCAGTTGGAATTACTAACCAGTATGCACTTGCCAGGGCTTAAAATTAGTTGAGGATCTCTTAAATGTTTATTTCTATATGAGAAAACAAGAGTGAAAGAAAATGAAAATATAAAAACATATTATTACAATCTTCTCTACAATACTTGGTGGGTAGAAGTTAGTAATAATTCCAAGTACACAGAACTGATATGTATGTTATACATATGTTTCTCGAAAAATAAAAAATAAAATAAAATGCTTCAGGTAACAATCGAGAACTCTAGCCTCATATTTCAAAAATTAAACATAATTAAAATTCTAATTTTACATCAACTCGAATCAAACTATCAAATAAAGTAATTGTAGAACAAAATTAAAATATCCAAACATTAAACTCATGAATCTAGATATACAGAAATACGGCATCCTTAAGTTTAGAAAAATATATATCAATGGAGATTGATATCTTTAGAACCTTGATGAAATTTTCGTTGTATCAAAATATTTTTTAATCCTTTTTAATGAAAAAAGGAAAGCTTAGAAAATGGCTGGTTAACTGACCTGTATCTTACATCTGTGTTTGTCATGGCTTGGAGAGTATATGCACCATTTTACAAGTGTAATTTTTTATCTGTCTTTTCTTTCAGCAATGCGATAGCAATTGTTAGGTTATATTTATACAGGTTTGATCTAGAGAATGTATCAGGGATGTCATTGTCATGGTCAGAAAACTACGTAGTTTCAACTTAAAAGATTGATTGTTTTGTTAAATCACCAAAAGCTATGGAAGCTGTAGCTTTATTATTCTGACGGCGCACTCTTCTCCACTCTGCTGATTGTTTGCTTTCTTGATAAGATGTGCTAGTGCATATAATTGACAAACTTTTCATTGCAGAATATTTAACTGTCCTTGCATGCATTTGCTCAAATTTAATTGGATTAGCACATTTGATAGTGAAAGTTTTGTTTCTTCTTGGGGTTATTACAGTATTAGGGGCAATGATTACCCCCAATCTCCAACCTCCGATCACCCCCATTATCTTTTTGGAGGTGATCCGGGATTGAGCTGTGGAGGGGTAAGGTTGCCCCCAACAGTTGTCTAAGTACTAGACAAATTAAGATCAAAGAGGTCTTTCTCTAACTTTCTTTTTGGTACGATAGCATATCAGCCAACTGCAGCTTCGATGGAAAAATTGAAAGAGAAAATCGAGTGACTGAATCTTTTCGATGGATCCTTTCTATCTCTACCATCATGATTCAAGGGTTTTTACATAGCATTTCACTAATTTTGAACAAAGACATGAGTTGCACATGAAGATGGGAATATTGAAGATTATTCAGAGTTTGTAAAGGCACTTAAACCTGTAATTATTTGCTAGTCTATTCTCTAGCCTTAGCTTGGTTAAAATTGTTTGTACAGTTCAATATAAAGCATCAGGGTTATCTAATAAATAATTATTTATTCACTTTGGTTTATCAACTTGATAATACATAATGCGCAGAGAAGCAGACTGCAGTCTGCAGTTCTGCATACCCAATACCAAGAAAAACCGGGGGAAAAAGTGAGGGATATTTTTATATTTTTATTTTTTTAAAAACCGGTTTCGGTTAACTGGTTTGATATTACCCTTAAACCGTTAACTGAACCGGAAATTCGGTTTAATAATTTTTGAAAACCGAAACCAAACCAGTTAATCTGGAAAACCGGTTTTCCGGTTCGGCTTTTGGTTTTTTTTTTTTTTTTTGGCAGTCCTAATTATATTGCCCTGCAAGCTTTTCTCATGCTCCAGTTTGCTTTACATTTGGATTTCACATTCTTCAGGCCCTTTCTTTTATACTTTCACACTGTGTTCCTTGTGAAGAACTTTTCTATATGACAGCCATTTTTTTTTTTTTTTTTAATAATCATTTTATCTTAGTTTCTCTATTCATAAACAAATTGTTAAGTGGCACAGCAAGAGTTTGCTAACCTTTAACAAAAGAGCTAGAAGGAAGTGCTGATATTGAGGAGGATTGGCTTGTTTCAATTAGACAGAGGTTTGGTGTAGTCGTGTAGGATCATACAAGAGAAAATGTAATCTATTGGGTGACAGGCAAATTCTGCAAAGCCCGTTTTATAATTGTGTTCATATAATATTTTAATTAGATGTAGGCCTGCACTTTAGTCAAGTTCCAGTCACTCGGAGGGGAAAGCATATGTGAATATATATGAAACACCACACTCAATATACAAAACGAGATCAAACTTAATACAACCACTTTTCCTGGTAAACAATTTCGTTTTACAAGCGAAGAAGTACTAAACACAGACTACTCTGCACCCTTTATTACTTCAAACCAAAATAAGCAACCAAACTCAACTGTTGCAGAATACATATAAAATATAATATAATATATATAGATATATATATATATATATATATAACCACAACAACATAAACCTAACTTCCTCTAGAACTCATATAATATTGAGGAACTTCTAGACAGCATGTTGGTGATAGAGCATGGGGGTATTACACATCCGTTGTAATATTTTCACCGAATAGCCATGTTGTTTTCTGTGCTTTGATTCTGAATGTCACCCCATTGGCCTCATTTGTTTCCTTTGAGAAAGTTATTATATTACCTTCCTTTAGACTCTTGTCTTTGACAAACGCAAGCCAACCTTTTTCCTTAAGAACAGGTTTTGAGTATGGACCCTTTCTCCGGGTGGAGAGACAAAAAGGCCATGGGTGCCCTTTCAAGTCCAGGGCATTAAAGTTTAATGAGTGATGCCCCTCAGGAATCTTGCCAAATTGCTCCGACTTTTCAGTTGGAATTGCTAACCTGTAGATGGTAGCCAGGGTTTAAAATGAGGACGGGTCACATTTTAAGTTTAAACATTTTCAAGCTAATATTAGTTAAGGATCTCTTAAATGGATATTCTATATGGAAAAAAAAAATGACAATATAGAAAAAAAAAATACTTTTACAATCTTTTCTGCAATACTCAATGAGTAGAAGTTAGTAATAGTCCCAAGTGAATCGAATTGATATGTACGTTATATACATGTTTCTAAGAAAATAAAAAGTAAAAAAATGAATGAGGTATTGATATAAATATAATCAATAAATTGAACTCAGTCAAATCAAACTGTCAAATTTAAGTAATTGAAGAACAAAACTAGGACAATCAATGATCAAATTCATGATTCCAGATACATGTAAATACAACATGCTTTAGCCTAGGCAAATATACGTTTACTTCAGGTTGATGTCTTAGAACTTGATGAAATTTTCATTGTAATGATCAAACTCTTTTTTATTCTTTTGAATGAAAAAGAAAAGAATAGAAAATGGATGGTTAACTGACCTGTTGTTCGCATCTGTGCATGTCAGTTTCTTGGAGAATATATCCACCATTGTTTAGAAGTGTATTTTTTTGTTCTTTTTTTTCTTTCAGAAAATGTGATGGCCTTGTTAGATTATGATGATATTTATACTGTTTTCTTGATTATAGATGTCATTTTCAATCCAGAATGCTAGGTAACAATTTCAACTTAAAGATTGATTATTTTTTTAAGTTACCAAAAGTTATGGAAGTTGTAGCTTTATTGTTCTGCGGGCACACTCTTCTGCACTATGCTCATGGTTTTGCATTATTGTCAACCATCACTTTCTTGATAAGATGGACTAGTGAATGTACTTAACAAACTTTTCATTGCAGAATATTCAACTGTCCTTGCATTGCATTTCAAATTTAATTGGATTAGTGCTGATGATTGTGAAATTTTTGTTTTTTCTTGGGGTTGCTACTGTATCAGGTGCAATGCTACCCCCTTCCCTCAACCCTTAGATCGCGCCATTACTATTTGGGAGGTGATCCAGTGATTGAGCACATATGATTGTGAAACTTTCCAATTGAGTGCAAGAGAAGGTTCTCATGGACCAGACAAAGATCAAATAGGTGTTTCTTTACCTTTTATTTTTCTTTTTGGTAGAAATAACATGTCAGCCAAATGCAAATTTGGTAGAAAGATTGAAAGAGAAATGAAAAGTGAGATGAGAATCTTGTCTATGGACCCATACTAGATATTAGAGCTTGGTTATTTGACCATGATTCAAGGGTTTTAACATAGCATTTCACTATTTATATGACAGAGACATGAGGTTGCACATGAAGTTGGGGATATTGAAGAATATTCAGAGTTTGTAAAGGTACTTAATTATTTGCTTTAGCTTGGTTGAAATTGTTTGTACAGTTCAATATAATGCACGGACAAACCCATCAAAGAATTATGCGGTCTAGGGAGCTTTTAAAAGTGGGTCCATTACAAAGAGAATGAAAGATGTTGTTCTGAATCTCTTATAACAGTTGTGCTCATTTGTAGTTTGATTAGATTTTTGACCAAATACAATTCTTATATATAGTTGACAATTAGTCCTATGTTTCTTATAAAACAAAAAACAAAAACAAGATCCAAATGTATCACTTAGCCTTGACCATTAGTCATTGATAAAGTCTTATCACATTCACAAGTCAAAGTGAACTTCAACAAGTGTGTGCCCAATTTTCCAAAAGGTAAGCAATCAACAATAACCTCATTGGACAGCAAACAATTTAAAGCTTTTGAAGATTTAGAAACTTCATATGGCACTAAGTTACAAAACAAAACAAAACAAAACAGTTAACTTTATCTTGAAAACTACAGTTTTAAGGGCCCATTTAATTAAATTAATGAAAATATATCAATTATCAAAGCATGCTTCATTGGCCCACCTAACAATAAGAACAAGACATCCCATGAATATGATTTCCAAAGTTTGAAAATTAGATTGCATGAGCATGATCCCACTATTGTCCACACTAAGTGAAGTACCAAAAAACTTCAATCAGCAATAAAAGTGAATTTAAGTGCCTGCATGGGCAGCATGAAATTCCTGAGTTTATATAGTGTTGAATCGTAAAGAGTTTGAGCTTAGAGAAGAGTATTGGAACTGACTCGAAAATAGAAATATAATCACTTTTAAGTTTATTTTGAATTACTAACTATCGACGGCATTAATTTATTTGTTTTTTTTACTTTTATTTGTTCATCAGTGTTCTCAATTTTGATGACAGCTTCCATTGTAACTCGATGTTGTCATTAATGGCTTTAAGCTACTTTAGCCATGCATGCCAGACCAAGCAGTTAAATTGAAAAATATCTAAACTTGAATTATAAGGTAAAATATCAAATATTGTTATAGGTTAATGTAGAACTGTATAAGATATCATTGCAGATGGAATCGTTCTCATGTATTGCAAGAGAGAAGATCGAATGTGTGTTACTGAATTGCATTTTCTGACCATTAGAAATATTATTGTTATTGCTTCGACTCATAGTCCCCAAAAAGTGGATCCCACTCTAATAGCCCATAATAAATTAAATAAATATATTAAAATATGAAGGTTTCTTATTCCACAATAAGGAAAACACTTTTTCACTCGTTCATATACTAAAGGATTTCACGTGGAAAAGAAAATTTTTCAGGCTAATGGATTTGAGGCTATAACCATGGGTATTTTTTCACTCTTTTATAATAGGGGATTTCACTGGGACGAGAAAATGTTTCATTCTAATGGATTCATGTCTATAACCATGGGTTCCAATGCCCGAGATCTTGTAGCACTTATCAATGAGGCCCTATTAATCTGCAACACAATCATAGGCACAAGCTGACACTAGAGTTGCTAAGAAATTAGAATTTTGATGTCTTTTGTCAACAACACTATGAACTGATTTCCATTATCATCAACAAATATACACACTTGAAAGCAATATCAATCTTTTAAAGTTTCGAAAATATCAACCTTCTAAAATTATGAAAAGGCCTCTATCTCACTAGAGACTACTAGTACTTGATATTAATCTATTGTAGGACAAACACAACAGGTCAGATTACTGTGCATAGCCGCATAATTGATTGGACATATGCATCCGCTCTACTCAAGACTTCTTCAATTACTTGCTTGCAAATTGCATAATTGATTGGACATATGCATCCGTTCTACTAAACACTTCTTCCATCGCTAGCCTGCAAATTGCATTCTCATCTTGCCTACAAGTGACACCACTAAATTTAAACTAGTTCTTTATTTTTGTAGATCAACTACTTGCTTGAACACTAACATAGTGAGAAAATGTTTGGTGAATTGGACTTCTTCAATAGCTACCATTTGCACTTTCTTCTCATGGTTATCCTTCTTGGAAAACTTCTGGGCTCTATTATTTTGCAGCTTCTTTTTCTTTTTCATAGTTCTTTCAAATTTTTGAGCTTCTTCTTCTTGGTTCTTTAGGAGCCAAATTTATGTCCTTGCAGTTGTAACATTCAATATATCAAAATCAATGTTTTAAAACCTGGCCTGGCTCGGCCGGTTTAATCGGGACTCGGAAGCTTCAACGGGCCGGGTTTAATTTTTTCCTATTCACCCAATACCTTAGGATTTCCGGTGATGATTGGCGAACAATTAACTGTCGGAATGTTGGGGCTTTTGAAGAGCTATTTCCGGTGAATGTAATGGTAGTGAAAGATTTGATTTCCGGTGAGTAAATCGATCGGAAATCGAACAAAACTGGCAGCGGCAACGATGAGATTTTTCCGACGATTTACGAGGCTAACGGGGGTGGGGTGAGGGGGGTTTTGGTCGGGAAGAAAAGGGGAGTAATTCTGGGGTGATGGGAAGGGTTGTTGTTGCCGGAATCGATGGGATCTGGCCTGGAATGCCGACGTCGACGTTGGTGAGATCTGGCCGAAATTGAACCTATTTCGGCCAGATCTTGGGTATATTTTGATGGAAATGGGCTCAAGGGACGATTGAGGTTGCATCTGAGGTATGTTTGATAAATTTCAAACCTATAGGGACTTACTGTAATTTTTAGGGGTATATTTGCTGAATTTTAAAAGTTTTTATCAACTGGTCAACCCGGGACCCAGAAGCTTTGCTGGGTTTCACCTCGGGTTGGGTTTTAAAACATTGATCAAAATAAACACATAAATTAAGCAATGTTATAAAACCTGGACCGAACCGGCCAATTGGACCGGTCCGACCGGATTTCAGAGAGATAGCCGGTTCACTAAGTAATAAAACTCGTTTTTAGCAATCAAATCGTTTCAGACTGCTATTAGACCGCCTGTACGGTGACAGACCAGCGGTCCAACCGAATCGGACATAAAACCGGTCCAATTAAAATAACCCTAAATTAAATCCATTTCTCCCTCATTTAATAATTTCGATTTCATCTGATATTTTGCAGTTTTCCTGCCGCCGTTGCATTCTTCTTCAGTTCATCTTCATTCTTCGATTTGAACTTTCAGGTTTGATCTTCTTCTTGGTTTCGTTAACCTTCCATTGTTCTTCTAAGTTTTTCTTTGGTTCCTTGTCTAATTTCATCTTTGATTCTTCTTCGTTCTAATGCCAGCTTCATCCTTCATTCATCTTCAATCAGCAATCTTCTCCTTCGTCTGCTGCCAGCCACTGAATGATCTAGCTGGTTTCGGCCTTTCAATCTTCAAACTTCAAAGCTAATGTAACAATCTAAATATTATATAGATTTAAACTTCAAAACTTCATTTTTTTCTTTTATTGTTTGTGTTTGATAGGAGTTGATTGTGTTGAGAAGTGTTTTCAATAGATTATAGGTACCTATTTACTACAAATAATCACCAAAGCCAATTTGTTTTCTTATGTGAAAAGGATTTTTGGTGGTTGCTGTTCTAGTTTGTGGGTGTTGCAGATGGGATTTTGTGTTTATGCTGCAGAAGGGTGTTTTCGTGAGCAAGAGTTTTTTGGTGTGTTTTGGTGCTGTTGTGATTTTTTTGGAAAAGGCATGCTGGGAGCTTCTGTTTCAGCTTGGGTTTTTGCTCTAGCTTTAGTATTTGCTGGGAGCTTTTGTTTCAGCTTGTGTTTAGACCATCTCCAACCCATTGCACCAATTTGGTGCAAAATTGCACTAAATTGGTGCAAATTTTGGTGCAAAATACTATTCCATCTCTAACCCACAACACCAAATATTACACTAAAAAGAAAATTCTTTAGAATATTCCTTTTCTATTATAATAGTCAACAATGAATCTATTTCACTTATTATTTTTGTATATATTAATTAAATATTAGGAATGATATTTTTATTAAATAATAATTATTTTGAAAATTATATTAATTTAATAAAATTAAACATTTATTTAATCAAATAAACATTACATTTAATATAGAAAAACATTACATCTAATATAAAATGATACAAAAAAAAAAAAAAACAACAGCACAAAGGTAAAATTTCATATTGATAGTAATTTAATTTCCGTATTAGTATGTTCTTCTCACAAATGATCAATTAATGCATTTCGAAGAGCATGGAGAGCCTCTGTATCCTTGATTTGTTTATGTCGAGCAAGAAAATTTCGAAATCGGACATTCTCAAATTTGGTGTTAATTTTTATTTTAAGTTATTGTAGTTTAATATTTGTATTGAATAAAGTTCTATTTTTAATTTTTCATCATTTTTTGAATTATATCATTACTATAAATTTATTATTATAAATAATAATCAAATTAAATTAAATACAAATAATCAAATTTGGTGGGATTTTTGGTGTAAAATTTAATACTCAAATTAACTTAACAAAACTAAAAAAAAAAGCAAAATAAAAAAAAAAATATTATTGGGCGCTACAGCGCCACACCAAAATGGCATGGCGCTTTGGCGTGGGTTGGAGCACCAACCCACGCCATTTTGGTGTTTTTTACACCATTTTGGCGTGGGTTGGAGATGCCCTTAGGTGTTGCTCTAAAAATGCTTCTATATTTCCTGATTTATATATAAAACTTTTGAAATGGTCAAGAAAATCCTTTATGATATAATTAAGAGTTAAAATATTATTGAAAAAGATTCTCATGATTAGATTAGAGGGTCTATATCAATACAAATTTGTGAATCTTCGGAGTTGTTGACTATTGAGAGCCACCAGTTAGCCTTAACAAATCAGACCTAATGGGTACGCACAAGGCAAAGGCACTAAGCTCCATATATATATCATGTATTTTAACTTAATTTTAAAAATTAATTTGATCAGTAGGCAATAAACGTATATATCAAAATATCAATGTTTAGTGACATTTGCTTATGTGCACTTTGACAATATTAAAATGAGTTATATGAATTATGATATGGTTACCCAATTAAAATGAGTTGTATGTAGTAATTTATGCCATTTTTTTATTCTAACTCTTTTGTTGTATTTTAATTCATTCATAGGAATTGAGATGGATGATGGAACTCATGGGAGTTGATTCAATTAAAATTGGGTTCAAATCATTTTACTTATGGCTAATGGATGGTGGTTTGGTTGATGGATTGATATTTTGTAATTTGGTGTGTTGGTTGGTGGATTGATATTATGAAATTTTGCATGCCTTTGAAGTTTAAGCTTGAGGATTGACTTTGTAAATTGTAAGTGGTTAAAAAGGGTCAAACTTTGATGTTTTTATTATTGTTGCACAATTTGTTTTTACAAAATTGTTAATATTTTATGGTTTTTTTTTTTTTTTTGCTGATGTCAGTATGATGACATCACCAGTTTGACCTGTAGACTCGATCGGTTTAACCTAGTGATGATAATGGGTCGGGCCGGGATCGAGTACCCCTTGGCCTAGGCCCAAGCCTGACCTCATGACAAAGGCCCAATCCCGTCACAGGTATGACAGGTAAAGCCCAAGCTGCATCCGACGAGCTTTTTGTAACCTCAAGCCCAGTCCAAGCTAGCCCATTTTTATAATGTGAATTTTTAAATATTAATAAATTGCAATTTTTTTTATATTTTTAATTCTAGAAACAATTTTTAATTTATTTTTGAATACTCACTAAATATATAGATAACTTTCCACAAAGTGCATCCATCCATCCATATAGGGTTTGTGAAAAATGAGTACATATATGTAGGATAATCTTGTAATTAAATATATATAGTATAAGGGTAATTTAATATAATTAATACTAAAATTTTTGGGCCGGGCCTGAAGACAGGTCAGGCCTTAAAACCAGGCCCAAGCCCAACCCCGCAAACATCGGCAATGAGCTTCTCTTTTTTCATACTTGAAACAAAATATGAACAAAATAACTATATCAAATATTACTAGGAAATAGTTACTTCTTTGAAGTGCAATGGCGACTTTGTTTTGATGTTCACTAAAGGTGTTCAAAACTGCATACCCGAATCGGAAATTTGGTTCAACCTATAAAGATTCCTAGTAACTGAACCGGTTTGAAGGTGACCCGGTTTTGAATTGAATTGAATTTTCGGTTTGGTTCCCGGGTAACCGGTTTTTGAACTGAATTTCCTTCTTATACTTAAGCCGGTCTCTAAACTTCACAATCCAAAACATTACAGACTTCAAAAACCAATCCACCTTGTTGATTAAACAAAACAATCAACCCAAACAACAAAGAGCAAATTCCACAAACTCTACCTTACAGCTTCTCCATGAAATTACCACTAACAAAGATACATAAAAAAATAAAACCAAAACACCGATTGGGTAATTCAAAAAATTGATGAATGAAAATGAACCAAACCTCAACACCAGTTTTCGCAACAATCTCAACAACTTGAATGAGCTGGCTATGAGGAATAGGTCCAGTAGATTTGGCACCAATATTAGTATACTCTTTCTGATAAGAAGTCTTAGACAACATAGCCTTTGTACAAAGTTTTCTCCCCGGTTTTGTACTCAAAACTGAAACTTTTTTATAGCCAGATGAGGACTTGTCAAAGGATTTGAGAAATGGGCACTAGTTTGAGTGATTGAAAGGAAGAAATGATTTGGGTATGTGAGAAAATTTCAGAGGAATGTTTGAGAAGGAAATTAGAGACCTGCCCATCTCAATTGGAAGCAAATGAAAGAGTTAAAAGAGTTACTTGTTCCATACACAATTTTAATTTTAGGCAAAAATAGTCGGTTTTTTGCACAGTTGAACCGGTACCCGAACCGAAAACTTGGGTTTCTCTCTATTATAACTTGAACCCGAACCAAATATCCGAGTACCTAGTTTTTTCGGTTTGGTTTGGGTTTGGGTACCGGGTTTTTTTTAACACCCCTACTGTTCACGCTCCAAGAACTGACCATAGCTCTACTAGCAACAGAAAGGGAGAGGCTCAAGTCGAGTTCAAAACTGCATATCCAGCCAAAATAGCAGCCATACCTGTAAGCATGATCATCATAACTTATGGCAAAAGTCACACCAAACAAAGTTAAAATAAATGTATCATTGCTTGTTCAGCTAATCCACTCCAATCATGGCAAACTGAGATATGTTGCAAAAAAGTCCAGTTATAAGGAGAAAGAAAATTTAGAACTAAATTTAGTAATGAGAATAAAATCCATGCACGGAAAACAATTTACCTATTGAAAATAAGGATTGACTTTTGGACTTGCACTTGCCTAAGAGAATTTTCAATACTCAAATTGTTTCATGAAATGCATTGACCATCCACCTCTATGCACGGAATGTGAGCAACCATGTGCCAACATGTTCCTTTCCGCTTCGAGCATTGTTGGCTCAAAAGAGGACATCCCATGATACGGAGTTTTCCTAGTGAAGCAGGGAGGC